ACACCTATTGTGCTGCCGTGGCAGTTTCCATCACGCTTATTTTACGATAGGCTGAATTGTGAGTAGAAAAGCCTTCAGCGTTTAGTAGGTTTTTTTCAGCTGCGAGACTGGCTGTCATGGATCTTCAGTGGACTTCCATTGAGCCACGTGGTACGAGTTATCGACTGCTACTTAGTGGAAGGTCATAAGTTTGTCACTAGAGCTGCAATTGCGATTGTTTATATTTGGGCGAAGTCGTTGAAGGTGGTTATCGAATTGTAGTTCCTTTTTTATTTTAATTTTGTCACTTTCGTTTCCGTTAGTCTTCAGGACATTTCTAGAATCGTCCACATGAAGAAATGCATGGCAAGTCGCAGGAAGAAAGGATCGAAGAAGTGAAAACGGAGCTGGCTAATACAGCAGCACAGATGCAGGTAAGGTATTCCTGGAAAAGTGGTGCTTTTTCCGGTCTTTAACTAGACGCGCCAGCCTGCTTCAAGAGTGTGTATAGTTGGTGCTTATGTAGACCTAACTAGTTTCGAAGAGCTTGAAGAGCACCACGTTCATCCAGCGTCCTTTCATGAATGGGGCCTCTTGGTTCGTACTTGTCTGGCTGCACCTCATATTTTACTTTTCGTTCTTTCGACAACTTCTATTGTATCTGAATCGCATCGTGCTTCTCGTGAAGAGATGCTTTGAAACTTTCGAAAATTTTCTCATTATGAGGTACCAAATTTGATTGATGTCGGGACTATTGCTTGTCTTTCTTTGGCAGATTATCGACCGAAACTTTCATTCAAAACCGCCAATTCGCGATCAGAAATCTGCAAAGTTCAACGATTCAGCGATTGCAGGCGCACGTTCGAAAAACAAGGTGGGTAGAGTTGACATTGTCACCAGTCTTTTCGGTGCGGATGACCTGGGCATGGTTTGACGCGGCGGCGCCTGCCGGCTCGTTTTTTTTTTTTTTTTGCGTTTTCCTTTTAGCACTGAGGTTATCATTTACTATGGTCGTATCAAGTTGTCTGCCATTCTTGTCGCTTTCTCGCTTCAACAACTGGTGCAGAACGGGCTGGCGACGCGCTGGACCCAGCCTCGCTGACAGGCCCCATCATCCGCAGCGAACAAGACTGTAATGCAAATTTTTGTCAGTAAGACAACCTATGCTTACAGTAAACAGTCCTCTACTATAAGTTCTGTAGCCTATGTATGCGGCATCACAAAGGTTGAAGGGTACAGGGGCGAGCATGAAGATTCCTTCGACTATCATAAACCTTCCAGCTTCACCGCCACACGTTTCAGTGTAACCAGTATGGTACCCCTCACAGCTACGAACCAACCTGCACATCTTTTCCATGGACAAGATCAACCTCCCAAATCAATAGCTGGAATTGAATGGAGCGAAAGGATGGGAGGCAAGAAAGACCATATAGATACAAGTGTCCGTTTTCTGCTTACCGCGTTCAAGTGTTTCCCGGCCTTAGGTCACCCGAAATGACTGCACCCGTACTTGTTCCTCATTCCTTCTCATGCACCTCTGAGCTCGCTCTGCAAGGTCCTGATGGACTATGTGTACATTTTCTGGCGTTATGTGCTGGTGTGACGGAGATGGGTTCTAATTAACATTCATTTTCAAGGTTCGTGAAGAAGTCACCCGTCGACAGTCACAGAAACGAGCTTTGCCTAGAAGAGCCCGACACTTGTTCACTCAGCCGTTTTCTTCTGCTATAGTCGACCAAGGTATGGAAGCACTTAGAATCCTTTGTGTGTTCCAGATGCTTCATGCTTTCCATTGTTGTCGACTGTACTCGTAATGTTTTGAGAGTAGCGTTTTCAGATGCAGCTGCGGAGAATTATGTCAGCACTGCCCCCTCGTCTCCAACTGGCAACGCCTCAACTGCTGTTCCGACTGAGCATTGATGGCGCAAGTTTCACTCACCTCTGGAGCAAGTATGTATTAGCTAGAACCGTAAAGTTGTCCTAAAACTGAATGTCCCTAACACACTTCGACCCAAAAGTATGATTTTGATTGTGACTGGTGGATCCTGATAATCCAGTAATCATTTGAAGCCTTGAATTTCAACTTTTCGGAAGCGTGTCGTTACTCTCTGCTCAGTCCATACTCTGGATATAGGGGGGTGCTGTATTCGTCATTGGAACATGCCGTAGAATCGGTTCTAGTCAGGTACTTCAATTTCATGCAACTGTCATCCTGTTTTGTCCTGAACAAAAACATTATTACAGTTGTCTCAAAAACAAAAATACCTTACCAGGGCTACGCTCAAACGTTCCTCAGCCAGCCTCCTCATCTACGGGATATGGAGTGTAAGCCTCTGTTAGATCGACCCCGCTGGGATACAGGGAGATTTGTGGAAGGATTGTAAACCCAGTGATCATCTGTTCTTTAGCTCACCAAGTTAGAAAGTTGCACATTTAGGTACGTAGGTACACTTGATAGTTGCTATCATCTCCCGCTGTTGAGGTTCCGTTGGTACTTAGCCTTTCACTGATCCCTCGTTTAACTAACACTTATCCTTTGGCCTCACTTTCTTATCCTATTATACGGAGTTACTCCAGTAGATTCCCTCTTTTGGGTATAATCTTTCAGTTGAGAAATCGTGCTCACAGTGACACCTCAGCCTCACCTGACCCGCCGACCCACAACCGTCTCCCCTGTAGGCCTTGTGGGGAAGTCTTCAACACGCTTCTAGGCTTATGATACATGTATGCACAAGTGAATCCATTGCTTATTCCAGAATCGATCAAGCAGAACAGACCCTTCTGCTCATAAAAACCACAAAAGGAGCTAAATTTGGTGCCTACTGCAGTTCGTCGTGGGCGGAGCGGAACGATCGTCGTGAACGGCTAAATCAAGTAGGTTTCTATCATTCTTCTAATAGTTGCCGAGTAATGAACCCTTATATTTGAGGTACTTTGGTACTGGAGAATCTTTTGTGTGGGTGCTGGAGGAAGAGCTTGAACTTCCCATTATCTACGGATGGGTTGGTAACAATAATGAACATCCTGATGCTTGCCCACAGATGTTCATGGCAGCTGGTGATAAGCTGCTTGTGGTACGTCTCTATATTATTTTTCCTTTTCCCTACTAAAATGGTTCCCGTACTATATTTTGTTTTTATTTCGTTCCCGATTTTTAGTTTTTGTTCGTTGTTCTTAATGGTCAAGAGAGATGTCAACAGCGACGAAATTGTCGCGTACAGCTTAAAGAGCTGTGTGTGTATGTATGTGTGTGTCTGTGTCTGTCTGTCTGTGGGGGGGGGAGGATCCAAATAAAATTCATAATTGATTTGAAGATGAAGAAAAGAAACGAGAAAACCGTAGAAGACCCCTCAAATAATGCTGAAGGATTGGACGAATGTTGCAAGAAGGAAGGCACTGCTATGCAGCGTGCAAAGACAAAGACACAAGAATCATGAAACGGATATTGATGAAGTGCTCGAGAGGGACGACAGGTTGGGCCCCACTTAGAATAATTGCAGCGCGTTACACTGGCGCCTTCGGTCATCACTGTCTAGCCTAAAGCGAGGCACCTCTGTAACGCTGGGAAACTAGTTGTACAAGAAAGGTTTTACCCATTAGTACAAGAAAGGTTTTACCCACGGGTTATCGCGGAGTCGTCCCTGAAAATCTACTGCAAATCAAGAAACTCCGCAGGAAGTGGGAAGTGTTCGATTGAATCTTGATAAGATCCACGAATTGGGTGGTGTACGCTCTTTAACCGCATGCCCATATCTTAGGAAAACGAAATTCGAGTGAAGGGGTGAAATTCACAGTTTTTCGTTCAGACAGCCTAATACGACAAAAAAGACTAATTTAGAATTTACTATCTATATTGAGCGAGAGACTAAAGGGATTTTAGAATTGTGAAATCAAAATCACTACGCATTTTAGCGAAATGTGCTCACTTTCTTCAGCCCTCTTGAGGTTTTTTGCGACAAAATATTAGTTCCTTAGCTTGCTAGAACAACTAGCAATTTTGGGAATTCCTGAAAACGTCCCTGCGGTAAAATTCATACATAGCACATGTTTTCGCCACGTGCCGAAATTGCGACCGTGCCGAAATTAACTCTCACGGCGATCTAAAAACAGTGAACTCGTTGACATCGAAGATTTGCAGTCGAGCGGAGGGGAGGGAAGGGGGGATATAGACATCTCCAATCAACTATTGGGCATTGCTGTTCTGCACTGTGAGCTAGGGGAGGGAACGTATATTGTGCGCGTGAAGCAGTTTAACCTCCAACCAGGAAAATTCTTTCTAAGCCAGTGCGGCCCTTTCCCTTCCAGCGACCGTATATGATCCCTGTTGGGAATCCCACCGTACGACGTGCACAGCTCCTTTGTGTTTCATACATAGAGAGTACTCTATTCCTCGGGTAATGGGGTGAAATACTTGGATAAAAACGTTGCATATGTCTTACCGGTTACCGTTCGCCGTTCTTTTCTCTGTATATAGGCCTCAGGAATTGAAGTTGAAGTGTTGCTTCATTTTACCCTTGTCTTTCTGTTTGACACATTGTTTGCCCTTACTAATTCCATTATTGTTGTCAGTTCTAGAAAAAGCAATTCAGAAACATAGTTTCTATTTGAAGAGTGGAGCCTTCATATTGCCGCACTACGTGGATCCAGAAGAAAAAGATGGACGAGTTGTGCGACGAGAAACGAACGAGCTCAAATATCGTCTGAAAGGGGAAGGGCTCTCGCCGAATTTCGACCCGCAGAACCCGGTTCGCAATGGCTTGACCTCATATATTCTCGTTTGCATTCTATGATACGACACATACACGTATACGACTGGTAATTTCAAATATAGTCAGTTTCGGAAAGTGAAACGACGGGTGCACGTTTCGTCTAGCGAATCGTAGATGCTTTTGAAATAGCACGTATAGCGCACGAATAGAATTGTTAGTTTCATACAGAATTTCGCTATCACTATACTATTTGTCCTTTCCCTGTTTTTCGGCTGCTGGCTGTTTGATATCGCTGTGGCATTTTGGTGGGGTGGTATGCAGGAATTGCTCACGTTAAGCGAAAAAGCGATTGTCCAAAGACGTTTTCAGGGGTGTAATTTATTCTTCTTGTGAGCTGTCCATCGAGTATGAGTGTTCCTTAGCAGTTTTAATTCAACCAAGAGGTAACTGTTCTAGTACAGATGAGAATGGGGTGCAGATTCTGATTGCCAACAAGAGCCAGTGCACCGTACCGAAGAAAGTAAAAGATAAGGGACCTCCTCCCACCAGTTGACCCGAGTCTCACATATAATCACTTTTCACCCTGCCTGAGAACCATAGCGCTCGGTACTTGCTAGGTGCTGAAGCGGCGGCCGAATAGCGGTGAGCAGTACTTCTTCTCGATATAAACTGAGGGTCCAATTTGATACGTTTTATGCGTTCCATCAGTCCAAGGCATTCCCCTTATTACATGTGAAATCAAGGCATCCTTCTAGTTCGCTGTTCGGCGGAACGGTCCTTTCACGGAACGATCGAGTCTTGACAGAGTTCGAGAGAAAATGGTCGCAAAGACCATTCGGAAGAGGAAACGAGTACCTGTCTCTACTCTGCCATCTAACAATAGTCGCTAAAGTGAGAATGATTCAAAAAGAGAGAAAACGGTAGCTGTGGGATAGGGGAATGGGAACCGAGTTAGTGGAGTTGCTCGATTTTAGATGAGAGCTAAGCTAACTGGGGTCTTGATCAGGGCATATCACGACTAGACAATGATTCAACGTTGTGTGCGCCCCTCTCATCTGGAAACCATCAATTCCAGCGACTTACTCTCACAGGAAGACATCATCCTACCTGCCCGTATTCTCAGTTGCCCAGTTGCCCTTGAATGAAGAAGTGATGCCATAGTGCACCTGAAGTTTCAACCGACTCTGTTACCTTTCTTTAGATCCTGACCTTCAAAATAAGCATAAGTCTCGCTGAATAATGGAAAGACATTAACGAAGAGATTGCCTGGCAACTCCCCATCCAAAACGCTCGCCGAATAATGAGGGCGTAAATGCAACGAATCTTCAATTAGGGGATCGATTGCCCCTTTTAGAACTGATTCATGGCTGCCAAGCCGAAGACTTTTGATCGTCAACTGCTTGTCCTGGCCTGAGGACCTGGTCGTTATTATCATGATTCCCCTTCGCTTCTAACTCTTGAGCAAGCTTTGAGGCGCTTAGCAGCCACATCACTCCGCTTCCTCACAGTGAGCTCAGACCCGACCCTCGTTTCCCTCTTTTTCCAAGGATTTACTTGACCCTGCTTCAAATACTGAACTTCATAAGTGTGTAAGCAGACAAAGGCTCCTTTGCAACATCGAAACCTCATCGCCCTTCTTGGGTTTACCCAGCTAAGAAACACTTATTCTCAGTGGAAAGCTCACGTCAAGTTTGAATTTTGATCTGTAGAGATAACAAGCTTTGGTTAGGTAAATGAAAGGGCCTAGCGTAGAAGAAAGTGGGATGTAAAGTCGTAAAACTAAAAACGAAGTAACAAAAGCACGGTAGTTCATTGTTGGCGTGCTTTAGTCGTTGGCGTCGACGATGGCCCAAGCGGAACGCCTGAATCTGCGTAGTCCGCGGCTGGAGCATGCGGAGCGCACTGTCACTGTGCGCGCATTGGCGCCATTGCCACTCTCTTACGAGGTATAGTAGTAGATCGGACCGATAGTTGCGCTGGTCGTCAATGCTACGGCTAGCTATGTCATGTTCGATTTCGTGGACGAATATTGTGTACTGGCTCTGCTTCTTGCTTTCGTGTCGAGGTCGTTTCTGTTTGATTGCGGTCGTACCTGGCAGGCAGCTATCAACCGCTCATAAGAAATGCAAAGACGCCACTCGCATAAAGAGGGGAATAGGAGAGAATGCTACTCAGAACACTGGAGCAGCTTCAACGCCCGGGATGCTAGGTCGAAGGGGGCGAAATCTCATGCCTTGATGCTGCCATGCTAGTTCCTCGAACCTGTCTTGCGAAGGCAGATTCAAAGAGCGAGCATGGCATCACTAGGGTGGGATCTCGGCTCATTTTGAATAGCTATCTCGTGGTTGAAGGTGCTCCAATGTTCCGAGTATAGCGCTCCCAGCTCTCCTCTATGTGGATGTTGGTATTCTGAGTGTTATTGAGGACATCCGAAGAGCGTAGCGCTCGAACAAGCACTCCTAGCTAGTTGACCCGACAATACGTTGACGTCAACTCAAATTTGTCGTGGCAGTTTACTTTGAATGAAGCCTTCAAATGACCGATAGGCTGCATTCATACTTTGCGACGGCGTCCACCAGCATACGACTGTGTTTTGAGCGAACGCCAGCGCCAGCGATTAGGAAAGTACAGGTATCGATCTGCGAGCCCAGGGTCCACCAGCGTACAGCAGCGTTTCCGCGGCTACTTCTGAAGTTGAGCAAAACCGCTCGCGAAAACGCTAGTAGACGCTAACATTCGCAGATCGATACCTATATTTCCCTAGTCCCTCGAGACGCTCGAGTGCTGATGGACGCTGGTGGATGCTGCCGCAAAGTATGAACGCGGCCTAAAGGACGCAATCTGCCGTAGCACAAAGGATTTGACACCAGTGTGATGCATCGCGTCATCTATCCAGGAATGCGGTCTGGCATTATGTGCGCTGCTGCGCCTTGGATGTCCATAACTGCATTCTTTTCTTTTGGGCAGGCAACCAACAGCTGCTCGCCGAGTATAGCCGCAATTTTCGTCTCCGCAAGCTACTTTCATTGTGGCGTACGTCGTCTGGTGAAGCATTTGGTCATTTCGGCCATGGTCCGATTCTCAGATCGATTCGACGGGAAGTACCGTTAGAATGAGCGGTACAGCTTCGATTTTGCGCCTTGCTTCGCTGCAAATAGCAAGTGCCTCCAAGAGGAGATGTCTGAGAGTTTCTGTCTCTTCTCCTGTACTTCTTTTCTATCAGATCTAACGCTTCAAAGTTATCACTAATGTATCACGGCAATGCTTAACTACTGCTTCTTGTCAGCACATGCCTCTTTTTCTCAGTTCTTCTCAGTTCGTCTTTCGGTTTCATTAGTTAAATGATAATTGTACAGGAGAGCGGTCAGCCGCATACAACGATTTCCACTTGGCAAGAATCTAGCAGGCTACCTGATGAAGTGACGACTGAGTACGATGAGAAAGGCAACAAGATTACGTAAGTACGATTATATTTTGGAAACGTTCTCGTGTTCTAAAAGGAGTGAGCACGATTGTGTGTGGGGGCAGAGGGGTTGTCGCTAACGTCATTGGTGAAGAGGCTGAAGGGGTTGTGGCCAAACGTCCTCTTGCAGCCCTTCCAACAATGACGCTGGCAACAACCGCCCGCCTCCAGCGATTGTGCCTACTGCCTTAATCCCTCTCTTTCTTTAGTTTGTGGAGTTCATAGGGGTAATTGCAGTTGGGAGATGGGGGGCTAGCTGTGGAAGTGCACCTCAGAAAGCGACTGCGCCGCGTTATGTTTGCTTGTACCTCCCGTGAGAGGAAAATGTGGAATTGTGCAATGTACGAATTCTAAGGCTTCAAAAAAGTGGAGAGAACGAGAGAGAGAGATATGCCCTGGCCTACTCTATCCCCCATCCAACTTGGTGCCCCCCCCCCCACAAACTACGTCTATCCATCAGGTTTTTAATCTAAGTTGTTATATATTTTGAATTCAGTTGAACAAAAAGTTCTAAATTTCAGTCGAACGCTGAAAACTTCGCAGGTTAAGCACACGGTTCAAAAACAGACTTTCCAAAACTATGTTGTTCCCACGGACGAGCAACCGGTCAGTTTCATTTCTGCTGAAATAGCCTAACTAGTAGTTTTGTTATGAGTTGAGTAGAGGAATAAATGTGTTCAGGGAGTTGTCACAGTGGAGCGCATACGAGAGGAGACAACTCCGTTGAGTGCTGCTGCAGTGGCGACGAACGGCTCTGCTGGCTCGCCTCATGTCGTTGAAACACATTCGCGATCCGTTGCATATGATGCAGGGCAGAATGAACACCAACATGAGGTTTGTCCATATTCCATAGTCCTGGTTTCGTGGAGGGAATGGTTTTCAGAGTAACTGCTGGGGTTACGGGTTACCACTGAGGTAGAAGTAAGGGAATAAGTTGCTTTTAATGTATTTCGAGCAGTGTCATTGAATTACATAGAGAGTTGAATAGGAGTGTGGGCCTATTTAGCGGTAATATTGCAATGGTGGGTAATCACAATCTTTTTCGCTGCGGATACTGTGGTTTGTCAGGGGGGGGCTATGTGTAGAGCAACGCCGGCCTATTGTCCATCCATTGTGGTCGCTTGTTCCATTGCTGATTTTTTTTGGGCTTCAGCCTTTCCCTCCATTGCTTCCCTCTCCGCTTAATGGTAAAATAACATCTGGGAAAATTTTATGCGATGGTAACAACGTTGTGAAAGTAAATCCGACTGAAGGGAGGAAAATTGGGATAGGGGGGGTCGCTTTTTACAAAAGTTTGACCTGACGCATTGATGTTCTCTGATCCGGTCTATTTAGGACTGATATGAGCCTGTTGGAAGAGGGAAAGAGGAGGTAAGGAGTCACCATGAGATGGAGCAGATAGGTAGGCCCGATCGGGCCGCCGTGCGTTTCCCCTACCTGCACCCCTAACGGCAATGGTCTTTTTGGGAATACTGAAAGCTACCATTTGATATAACAGCATTTTGCGCCGAACATGGTGATCAGGGAGAAAAAGGGGGCGGTGTTGTAT